CATAAACGCTCCCTCTCAGCCTGCAGCTGCCTGCGAGTTCCAAGGCCGCCCCTTTAACTTTCTCCCGTCCGCGTCTGCAACCCTACATCGCAGTCCAGCCGGAACTCTTAACTCTTAGCACCGGGAGGGCTGGGTTGGGTCCCAGGAGAGGGAGGGATTGGGAGGCAAGAATAAGGTGCAAGCTGCAGCGGGCGCGGCGCCGCGGGGCTGGGATTGCGGCGACCGGGGAGGGCGCGAGGGTGCGGCGTAGGAGCGGAGCGCCAGGCGGGTGGACGGCGCGGGTACTCACGCACTGCCTCCTGCTTGGGGTCCAGCGTGCCGAGGACGCGCTGCACGCCGCCAAGCTTGCCCTGCAGCGCCCAGACGCGGCGGTGGGTGAGCTGGATGTCGCTCTCGAGCTCCTGGAAGAGGCTGCACGCGTGCCGGGCCACGTCCGAGAGCTGCCGGAGGACGCGGGCCAGCGCGGCGTTGCTGACTGCGCACAGGTCCAGCATGAGCAGCACGGCCGCGGCCGCCGCCGAGGACGCCTCGCCAGCCGTGGACGCCGCCTCCGGGACCCCCGCCGGGCTCTCCTCGCCTGCCGCGGGCGCCTCTCCGTGCGGCGGCTGCGCCTGGTCTGCAGCCGTGGGCAGCGGCGGCGGCGGCCCGGGAGGCGCGGGGGGCGCGCGAGGAGGATCCTCCGGCCCCGGCGCCACGGCCTCGTCCCGACGGCCGGGAGGCTGCAGGGGCGGCGGCGGCTCATTGATGCCTCCGTTCGCGTCCTCCACCGGGCCGGGCGCCGGGCGCCGCTGACGGCACAGCCACTGCGGCTCCACGATCCGCTTGGCGAAAGGCATCCCGCGCAGCCGGGCCGCGACTTTCTGGTCTCCTCAAAGCGCCCCTTGCGAGCGGTGAAGCGGGCGCGCCCACCTGGGCGGAGAAGGGGCAGGAGCCGGGCAAAGGCGCGATCGGGCAGTCCGGATACGCAGGGGGCTCCTCCGCTCACCTGGCCTCCTCCTTTTCCACGCCCTCTCCCTAGCAAATCAGTCCAGCCGGTCCTCCTCCCGGTGCACCGTTCCCTGGGGAGGATGACAAGCGCGGGGCACAGAAATCTCGGGGTGCGCCTGGGCTCTCCTCACTTGCTTCCAACCCGGGTCGGCTGGCTCAGCTCCATCATTCCTGCGCTCGCCGCCGCCGCCGCCCTGGCCGCTGCCGCCGCCACCGCCTCTATAAATGGGCGTGTGTGTGTGTGTGTGTGTGTGTATGTGTGTGTGTGTCTGGGTGGGTGGGTGTGAGTGTGTGCGCGCGCCTCAGTTTGAAAGTACCCCGGCGCAGGCCTCTCCCCGCGCGCCCCTCGGCCGCTCCGGGGAGCGATTGCGCCCGGGATCTCTCTCCCTCTCTGGGCGGGGAGGAGGTTTCGGAAAGGCGCTTTGAAAACCCGGAGAGAGGAATCCGCCTCCAGCCCGGGCTCAGGAGGCGGCGCGGGGGCGGCGGAGCGGACGCAGGGCGGGGGGAGGCCTGGGCGAGGGGGCGCAGCGCCCTGTGCGGCCGCTGGGAGTCACTGGTGGCCTCGCCACTCAGGGCGCATTCCGACGCAAAGACACTTCCTCGCATCCAAGGAGTTAGGATTGAGACTGTCAGCGTGGTGGAGGCGGGGAGTCCTCAAGTTGAGGTTGGAGCTGTGGGTAGCGAACGCAGAGGCAGGAGGGTGGAGTATTGGGGATCCAGCAGATTTGGCGTGTCGGAGCAAGTTGCCTAGCCGAATTCCAGCTCTGAGCAAGTCCTTCGGGAAGGGAAAACTGGGTTGCCCTTCGAAGTGCCCGGGGCTGTGAGCGCAGTAAACTAGGCAGGGTGACGCGGCATGGGCGCATCCGCGTGCGGCCAGAGTGGCCAGGGTGCTGTTTCTACCCTTCCCGGGCATCACTCCAGCCGCCTGCGCTGGGCTGGGTCTCTATAGAATATCATGAATGAGACCCAAACCACCAATGAGCAAAACCCCCAGAAAACTGCTTGCAAACCTCCTTGACACGTTAGGTGAGATAAGCCAGATTACCTGCCTGTCACTCTTCTCTACAGATCATACACAGGGATTTTAAAGTTCTCCATCAGAGAGACGATGATTCACAGAAGAAAGGAAAGTTTTCCCCTTCAGTTAACTGGAAGGTATAATTTCTAAAAAGGCATGTATTTCGATTGCAGCAATTTGCAGGCTGGATGCTGTCAGCCTAAAACCTAAAGAAGAGTTTGGGAAATGTTAATAAAATACATGCTTTCATCCCTCCAAAAAGAATACTGTAAAAATATTTCTGATTTTAAAGCCACAAGCCAGATCTTGGGAATGCAGCCTTCATTTCATGTGTCTAAAGAGAACATGGAAAAAATATGTTTTATGGCAACTATAAAGTCCTCCAGACCTGCGGTGGGGTCTCCTCTCCTCTCTCCCCCCTTTTAGCAGGAGCCTGCACGGGGCCCCACAGTCAGCCCTTTGGATTGGCCCACACTCTGGTTATAAAGGCTTCAACAGACCCTTCTCTTATTCTACCTAAAAAAATAACACTTTTGGCGAAGGAATGCCCTTGTTCATAAAAGATCCAGGCTGGGGACTTGGGGGTAAAGGGTCATGATGTCTGCAAGGTACATATAAATGGTTCAGTAACAACAAGAAGAAGAATGATAGTAATAATGTATATGTACAAAGATAAAAAAGAAAATATGGCAAAATGTGCAAAATAGTGAGTCCAGGTAAAGAGTGTATTGGGATTCGTTGTAAATTTCTTGAAACTTTAAATTTGGTTTTGTTTCCAAATAAAAAGTGAAGAAAAGAACACTTTGGAAAGGGGTCTTTTAGGAGTTGTTCTTTAGCTCACAAATCTAAAAAGCTTAGAGCTGGCTGTTTTCAAATTTAGCTTGACTTTTTAATGTGTTCAAAATTCTGAACATGAGTTCTGCTAGATAGCCAAGCCACACACTCCTCCCTAAACATATTGAGACATAAAGAACAAGGAGGGGTATTAAAGGCATCCAGCTAGCAAGCCTTGGCGGGGTGAGTCTGCCCTGCCTCTCACTGGCCTCACCAAGCATTATCCTATTAATAGCAGCATTCAAGGGGCCAGTAGAGTGGGCCCGGCTGAACACTGACATGGACAATGAATGGTGTTGGGCTCTAACTCCTAAGGGGATCTTCGGATTATTGGCGAGTTCCTTCCGGGGGCCCGAGGGTCCCTATCCACCCAGAGAGGTGATTGAAGGGTAGGGCAGAAAAGTCCGATGGGAGGAGGAGTCCTCCTCCAGGCCCAGGAAGGGGAGGATTCCAGGGGGTCATTGAGTTCAAGAACAGGCTAGCTACCTTTGGGGTCTGCCCCAAAGTGGTCAGCAGAGACTCAAGTCAAGATTTCAAAATGATTCAAAGCACAGTTCAACTACACAAAAACAAATACACTTTTTGTCATCTCCTGGGCTCCTAATCATGTGCTAATAAAGCCATTTGGCTCAAAATAAAAAGCTTTGGTTTTGGCTTTTGATCTCTGTGTTCTCACTGCCCCCCCCCATCCCCCACTTTTGGTATTTGAAGGAGGCTCTCCTTCAAATGAAACTAATACAAATAAAAATATTCATTGATATGGTTGTTGATGTTTGCTCGGTCCACTGTACGGTATGAATAAAGGCACCTTTAGAAAAGTGATTGTTAGACATCCGTAACACCATCTAAATAAAACTGTGTGCTAGCTATGCAAGGGCAGCTTCAAGACAACCTCCTGGACTCGCTGTACCCCTTCCAGCTTCAAGCTCCTCCTATGTGGCTTATCCTACACACACACACCCGCCCCCATACCCCTGCACACATAGTTCTTGGTTTGGCTCCAACTTTATAGAACTGAAATACTGAAATCAATAAAAGTGTAATAACCATATGTAATCATGATGGGATGTATGAATATTCTTAATGCCGACGAGTTTTCAATACATCCAGGAGCTGTGCCTTTCTTATTCAAATCCCCAATTATACCATTTTCCCATTTTCCCACAAAAAGCTCTGATGAAATCAAGGTTGATATCTGAAGCCAGATTCTTACACCTACTTATGTGTGTGTTGATCTCTCCTGATCACGTACTCCCCCTAACCCATGTACACATATTTATTACCATGAGCTTGTCGCCAGAAAGGAAAGGCAGCATTTAAAAATGGCCCCATTGCCTAATCCCTAGCAGTTATTCATGCAGCTCAAGGGCCAGCACAAGTTCCCCCTAAACCCTAATGTTCAATCAGTATAAACCTTATGCCATTGTGAAATGAATGAAATATCCTGTCTGTGTCACCACGCCCCACAGTTACACTCCTGTCTGCTGCAGCCCAGTAGGAACAAGGTCTTTGTCCAAGGAAAGAACCGGCGTTGGGAGCGCCGTAAGGCACCTCCACCCTCAGCCTGGCTAGCCTCCTGCTTCCACAGAACTGTAGTCACTTTTCCTGTAGAAACTTACAAGCAACAAAGCAGAGATCCCTGAAAGATTCTTCACCAAAAATGTTCCATTTGAAATATTCCAGCATTGATGCTACACCATCACTATTTATACTTGAAAAATATTTATTTTCTCTAAGAAATTCCAGGAGATACATGGGCTTGTTAGCATAATCATGTAATTATAGTGACTGAAGTCTCCCTTCGTCCACCCAATTGCACCCATTCCTCAACCACTTTCATTCCCTCCTAAAGGCCCTACCACTAAGTAAAAAGCTGGTAAATAAAAAATATTTTCATTTAATTTTATTAGGAAGAATTATGAGCATTCCATCCCAACCCAAGTTACCCAAACCATTTCCAGAAAAATATGTCAAGTTTACCTAAGTAAAAAGCAACAATTTGAAAGTAAATTAATATGGTTTGTCCATAAAATGTACTGGAGGTGCATTATACATGCCAAAGGAGGAAGAGCAGATTTGAGAGTGGATAGTGATGGCTGGAGAAGGAGGGAGAAGCTGTCATATTGGAGAGTCATATGGTTCACATTCAAGCAGAAAACTTTTTGGAGCTCGTGGTTATCCTATACTCAAACTGCACCCACAAATAAAGTTATAGCACAGAATAACACCTTTAGGCAAAATAAAGACTAAAGATGAAAGAGCCTTGAAACAGATGGGAAGAAGGCATACACACAGCCAGCAGGAGGATTACAGAAGATGTTACTCGCCCCATTCTCCCCCACATCAGGAGGCCACCACCTTCACGCTCCCCAATAGCTTCTCTCAACTTTTATGTTAGTTGCTGAGCTCTGAGATTCACCAACTCCTTCTCTCCTTTAGCTTTGCTGGTTCATGGGAGGAAGCCAGCAGCCCACAGTTGCATGTCATCGTGTCAGAAGGAGCATGCACTCCCAGATCCACGGTTCACAGCATAAACATTATGTCCAAAGCCTTCATGGCTTAGTTTTTGAAACTCAAAAGTCCAAGTTTTTCCAGTTCAAGAACCTTAAATTTGGCTTTGTCTACCTGTGTTCCCAGGAAACACCAGAAGAAAAAAAATTTATTAATATAACAAAATATGAAGCAGCCACCATACACGTAAGTACAGGTACATGCATATCAACAACTATCATGTGTATAGTTTTAAGGGGAAAAAAAACTATATACCACTACTGAAGGTTTTCCTTTGTTTTAGTTTGTGCTTTTCTTCCTCAAAAATCCTTTTTTAGTCTATCAAGTATGAAGGACAGGAGTTTCTCTGTGCATTTTACTGACAGGGAAACATGAGCAGAAAAGAAAAAAAATAATACTATTACACGGTTTTCCCCAAATGCCAAACGCCGTGAATCTAAAGACTGTTCCAACCAGCCTTTTTATCTTCCCTGCAAAGCACTGTTGATTACTCACATTGTTTCCAATGGGAGAAGTTTTGACTTCTTTCTTATCTTCAAACATCCTAGCCTCACATTTTACAACTGAATATAATTTTAAACACGCCAAATCTGGATCTAGTCAGAACTGCAAATACATCAAAATAACTGACAGAGTTAAAGCAGATGGTGATAGCAAACGAGGGAGTTTCATTCAGGTCTTCGGTCCTCTGGTTATGCAACAAACATTCACCTGAAGCTTTATTTACTGAGTGCAAACATTTATTGGGTGCTCAGGCCTCTGTTAGCTGCCAGGGATATAAAAGGGAAGAAGACATAAGCATTGTTCTCAAAGGGTGGAGTCTAGTAGGGTAGATAGAGATGTAAACAAATAATGGTAGTACACCACCAGCAAGCTACAACAGAGATAAGAATTAAGCGCTACTCAGAATCCCAGAGCCATTAACACTGTCTGGGGGGAATACAGACTGGAGCCGGGAGTCTAAAAGCAACACAGCCTTCAGGGTTGTTTCTTACAGCTTAGAAACAGAAAGGCTAAAGCTGAGAGGAAGCATCGCCACATGCTCAAAAGCAAAACAGAGTGGCAAAAATCGAGACACCCTCCAACCAGCTGCAAGAGAAGATATGCTTTTGACTAGAATCATTAAATGGCATTCCCAACAAGTCTTTAAAAACTCCTGAAAACCAACTGGTAGAAGAAAGAATGTGGAAATTATGTTGCCTTTTTTTTTTAAGCTGACTCGTAATTTACACTCTTTGGCAAGGCTCAGTTTATAAAGAGGAAGTGGATTTTTAATATATTTCCTATAAAGAAAAGTCTTCAATTGGGTAAGATGCACCGTAGTCTCTAGAGCCCGTGGTGCTAATAAAGCAGAACAGCCATTCCCCAAGGGTTCATGGGCTCCCTCCTGCCCCTCCTTGTTTCAACTGTTCAGAATTTGCTCTCCAAGCGCCCTTCTGTGATGAAAACACCCAGCGCTGGCCTTGACCTAGAGGAAGTGCCTTTGACTGTGGTGGTTCTGAAATAAATCAGCTCTTTTTGAGAGGAACTTGAGGGAGTAAAATCTACAAGTCACATTATCAGTCTGGGATTGAGTCCTTGTGAACAGCAGAGGCAGCAAACTTCAAACTTTATCAAGATTGTAGTGCTCATTAAGGAAGTGAAATTGAGCCAGATTTGAAGGAAAGCGCTGTAGTAATTACAGAGTTATGAAAATTTAAAAGCTATGCGCCTGGGCACGCAGAGAGCAACGTGTTTCCTTTGGGTTCAGAGACACTGCAATTACAGGGCTTAAGGGGAGCAAAGCACCGAATTAGAACTCCCCATTAGTTTGATTAATCACTGATGTAAGTGCAGGCCCTGGAAATGGCTATGGCTCAGCCTGATTTGTGTCTCTTCCTAATCTCCCCCTCCCCTTTTCTCCCTCTATTTCCTTTACAAGATCAGGGGGCCAGGGAAGAGAACAAACCTTGTATTAACGATAAGAAATTGGGTGCAAGAAAGTTAAAACTTCCTGAAGCTTAATGATTTCCCTACATTAGTGTTGGCTTTGCCAAGAATTGTATAATAGCGTGTTCTTTCTTCTTCCCAGGCTGTTAAATCATAATGGTACAACAAAGACATGTTACTAAATCTAATAAGAAAACCAGAGAATACAGTATTTTATGTGGGTGTAGAACAAGTCAACATCCCCATAGGAAGCTCACTGAGATAATAATATACAATATTGCATTAGATGGGCTTTAACAAACAAAAAAACCCAATATGTAGCCAATTAGCAATAACAGACAAGAGTCTGGTTCTTTGGAAAGAACTTTGCACCCTTCTGATCAACTTGACTAACAAATCTCCTTGCAGAAATGGTGTCTTGCCCCGGAAAATGATGCTGCTGGTATGAGGTAAGTATTTTGGGGTCGGGATATTTGACTCGGTGCCTCCACGTCAATACAACCAAAAAGTACAGCCAATTTTTTATGAATGGGGAACACAAAGGGACAAAAAGGTCAATGCACTAATTCGACCCCAGCGTGACCACTCAGAGAAAGAACTCTGTAAATGAAAATCCAGAACTCTTGGCACAAAGGCACTTTACTGGACGGGCCAGCCTTTAAATTGTGTGCGAGATGACCCTTGATGGGAACGGTGATTTTGTCAGCGGGAGATTTTTAAATAAAAAATGTCACTGAAATTTACTTACACGACCCTTTTCATATTTGTGCATGAACTATAGGGCTCTTGGGATCAAACGTGAGACAACCGACCAGCCATGCCTCTTAAATTATTTTTCCGGAGGTGTTTTCTTTCTCCACCTCAATTGTAAAGATCCAGGAATAACAGCCCAGTGCACAAAGTAGACAGTTTTATTTCTCATCCTGTCTCAATGGTCTCATAATGGGTTCAATAAGAGTCTGGAAATAATGAAAGCTTCTCCGTGGAGAAACACAAGACTCACCAAAAGGCACAATAGCACCTAGGAGTCTCCTATAGTAACGGCAACACTAGCAGAAACATTGCAGGAGTCTGAATTTCCTACTTAAGAGAAAAAGAAAAATTTAAAAGGTGACTGCCCTATACACTCACTAGGGTGCAGATGGAATGTCAGGCCACTAAGATGAAAATCAGCAGTTGTCCAAGAACTCTGTTGAACAAAAAGTGGTAAGCAAGTGCCTGGATTACAGGCTTATTTTGATCTGTTTTGAAATATGTTTAATTTCCTACTGACTTTGGGGAGAACTTCACCCCTGGTTGCTAGGAAAGTCATAATAAAAGGATAGGGAAAGTGAAAAAGAGGGGGAAAAAGGGATTTGAGTTTTTAAAATTATTTCCATTTTTAAGTTCATTTTGCCTTTATCTGCCCTTGGGAGAGAGGGGATTCGTTTTTAACCGCACATAGGCCTCGTGTAGTTCAGCTACAGTGGCAGACACTGTCATTTGCTTAGCCACTCTCTTTCTTCTTTTCTAGCAGGATCTCAGTTTTGTTCCAGGTGGCAATGGGCGCCAGCCAACGTGCTCACCACCCTAGACTTCCCCGCATTCAGGGCTGGCCAGATGATGCAGTTCTGGACAAAGACGTCTATGTGGACATCAGCTAGAGATTTCTAGGGATGCTTTTGCTTTCCTGATACAGGTGCTGCTCCTTCCTGTTTCTGTCTTCTTCTTTGGCCCTGGAGAATGGACTTGAGGCTGAGAGGGAAGGGCTGTCCTGTGATAGTTACATACATGAGGATGAAAGCCTTGTGCAAACGGATAAGGCTTCTGGAATATAAATGACAGGGCAGAGCGCTGCCCTAGACCAGAACTCCCCTCCCATCTCCAGATTTCTTGTATGGTGAGAAAACTAACCCCCTATTTGGGTCAGCTCCTATACATGCAGTTCTGACTGATAGGAGTACAATTCTTTACGAAGCAGTGCTCCAAAATTCAGAAGACCAGGGTTCTGGATCTTCCTCATTCATTCATTCCATAGATGTTATTCAACAAATACCTACTATGTGTCTGTGACTGTTCTAGGAACTAAGGAATCATCTGTGAGTTAAACAGAAAACCTGCCCTCATGGTGCTTACCTTCCAGTTAAACAATATTAAATAATCATCATTCAATAACAGTTTATGTACTCAAAAGGTGGTTTTAGTGGGTTCATATACTTAAAATAATAAAAAGAAACAATGTCTGTAGCAGATGATGTTGCTTTCCTTCCAGAATTCCTTCACCTGACTGGAGCACTCATCCCCGCACTACAGTGGATGTTGGCTGCTCACAGCTGCAACCTGCTCCCGAGGCATTCCTGTATCTCACTGGAGCCACCCAGGAGGTTGCATCCCCTGAGAAGGGCAGCCCATGCCCAATGACACAATGGTGTAGTGTGGAACACACTCTGTGCTGTTATTCACACTGCAGAGCTCTCTGTGGGCTCATGCTGAAGCTGCCTTCTCCTGAATCCACATCTTGCTTAGCGCCTTCCCCTGCCAACTCTGCTTCCCGCATACCTCACAGGTTCCTCCCGAGAGCTCTGCCTCACTACACTATCTGCACCAATCATTCCCCACTTCAGGTTCTGCTGATGGGAACCTGACCTAAGACCATGTCTGTCTCCATTTTTCTTTAATTAATGAAAAATATTTTTTCACTTCCCCTCTTTGTACAAAACATCTGAAAACTCCCTCATTTGAATTAAGGTTCGTAGAAATTAGAGGGGCTTAGTTATAACTCACACAGTTTATCATCATTCAACCAACTACCACTAGCCACCAGGTTGTTTGTGACTGGTATATCATCCTAATTGTTGGGTTTGTTTTTTGGTTTTTGGTTTTTGCTTTTGCTGGGGAACATTTGCCCTGAGCTAACATCCATGCCAATCTTCCTCTATTTTTTAGTATGTGGGCCGCCAGCACAGCATGGCTGCTAACAGAATGCTGTAGATCTGTGCCCGGGAACTGAACCCAGGCTGCCGAAGTGGAGTGCACTGAACTTAACCACTAGGCCACCAGGGCTGGCCCCTAATTGTTTTAACTAATAATAATAAATCATTTAATTTTCACCCTCAATTGACCACCGGATAAGAAAAGATGCATAAGGATTCTAAATATTGAAATACAAGTTCATGAGAAGCATAAAAACAAGAAAAATTATGATAATCTCCTCTAAATCAGTATTGAACTGATTCAAATCTTATACACATATCAGGATGCTGCTGGTATCTCAAAAACTAATGTTAAAGTGAGAATATCATGATGATTATATCCATTTTGTATTTGTATTTGCATTTATTGTGAATAAAGATTATCCACATGGTAATTTGTTATGCTCATAATTAATAGCACCAAAACTTTCCTCTCACATTATGTCTTAGCTCAGGCTGCCATAGCAAAATACTATAAACTGAGTGCCTTAAACAACAGACATTTATTTCTCACAGTTCTGGAGGCTGGAAGTCTGAGATTAGGGTGCCAGCACGGTGCTGGCTCTCTTCCTGGTTTGTAGATGGCTGCCTTCTCACTGTGTCCTCACAAGGCAGAGAGAGAAAAGACTCTGGTCTCTTCCTCTTCTTATATGAGGGCACTAATCCCATCATGGGGGCTCTACTCTCATGACCTCATCTAAACCTAATTACCTCCCAAAGGCCCCACTTCCAAATACCATCACATATTATTTTCTTAAAACCCAAAAATACATCATATATAAAAAGTATGAAATGAAAGAATTGTTAACATTGTCTCATGAAAATACTTTTTGTCTATTTTGGTGCCTGAACATAGATTTCCGTTTCCATTGGACTTTAATATACATTCAGTCTAAACTACAAACAAAATAACATGTCAATTTAAAATCAATTTGTTGATACATTCTACTTTTTCTCAAATAAGCAATTTAAGGTAAATAAAATATGCCACTTGATAAGTAGAAAAATATTCAAAATTTGTCTTTATGGCTTGTGAATAGCAGTACAATTGAATTGAAATTAATTTCCTGGTAAAACTTTTAATTACTTGTTAATCCAAAATTAAACAGTATTTGCTTAAAATCAAGGGTTTTTTAATCATTCACTATACAAAAAAGGCAAAATGATTTTTTCGCATTCTGAGGAACTTAAAAGATTGACATGCCACTTTCAAAGGGATTCAATGTCCATAAAATAGAAATGCTGAGGTAGTTGACCTCTGGAGTTGCATATGATCTGAATAACTATGATTCTCCTGTCATAAGCTAAACTGGAAGCTGTAGCATGCCTGGGGACCTTTATTTATCTTTTACTATCTTGGTAGGTAGTTGGATAACAGGCCTTAAGTACTTAAAAGCAAAGCATTGCCCTACTCTGCCCCACGCTATCATTGCCCAGCTCTAAGGTGACTCCCTCATTGGTGTCCCACAGCCCATACAGCCTTCCTTTGCCATAGAATTTGTCTTGTTACACTGTATTTTTTTCTAAATAAGAAGCATTGGGCTTAATCAAGGAAAAAAGCGTGCTGGATGTGAAATGAACCAAACAATACAAGTCTCTTGACTGTAGAAACCCTGAACTGAGTTTATGGATTCTCCAGTTCTACAGATCTTTTAGGATGTCTCCAAACTCAACGTCTTGGGGTTTAAATATTCAAACACCTAGAAGGAAGGAACTGAACTAAATGACCCTTTCAATTCTAAGATTTCATGTTTCTAACCACTGGTGTTCAATAATAATCCAAGCTGGGCTCTTGCACGCTGCTTTATTGTTTTCAGTTTTAAAATGCATGAAATGCACATGGTAGACTATGTCTACACCACCAGTACAAGGTAGTATGTACAATGAAGATAACCAAAGAGAACTGTGGGATCTGGAAGATGAGAAAAGATACTCAAAATGAGTTTCCATTTGGACTAACTCATCAGCTTTACAATAACTGGTTTGGGTTTTCCCACCAAAAACAGAGGATTCCATCTTATTAAAGCCCTAGAATCTGTATGGCCTTTCTTCCTCCTTAGTCTTGTTCTCCCATATATGCCAATTGAGTGGCTAAAACCTAGAACTAACTGACAGGTCTGCCCATACGACTTCTTAGCTCTGCAAAATCTCCTTGGGCAATTCTGTGTAAAGAGAAGTATTGACCATGTAAAGATAATATTGTAATTAAACATCATATTGAGTTATAATACCTAACTAAAGTACTTTATATGAACTCTTTATATATTAATGTCAGCATCTGTTTATTATATATGTTGCACATAGACAAAAGCAAATCCAATTCTATGCTATCGAATGGTGGTTTACTTTGCTGTTTCCTCATATTTTAAGAAATCCTGTAATGGATTTAAGAAATTGTCATTGTAAGGAGTTTGAATTGTACAAAGTTAGCCTTCTGTGGTTAGGGTAGCGTCCAAAAGGTGGATCCTGGGATTTAGAGTTGAGATCCCTGAGCACAGTACACTCTCTCAGTGATTTCAATGACTTACAGCATTCCCTGGGCAAGACACCCATTCTTTCTTTTCTCGCTTCTCTTTCAAGTCATGATTCCCAGCTTCACATATGGCAGTTCTGAAAACAAGCCTCAACCAAAGGGCTTAGCAATTCTGAGATGAAATGAACCACCAAGGACTGCTACATCCAGCATGACGTTTTTCTAGGGGAAAATGACTCCTAGGGCCTTTTCTCCATCACTGTCTAAAATGGTTTCCTTGGTAAACACAGCTGGGGGTTTGTCCATTTTAAATGACGCAAACAAAGAATCCTGCCCAAATCCCTAGAGTTACTTTTCTGTGGTTTAAGAGGATTATTAGGCAACAGCTTCCCAGTAACCAGTCTCAAATACATCCCCATTACTTATTTTCTTCCAGTGCCTCCACCCACCTTGCAAAACCATTTCTCTGCCTTCAGAGTTCACTTTTGGAGATTAATGTGTGCTGGTTCTTACCATGGTGCAGTCCTAACCCAACACAATGACGCGCTCCCCTTCTCCCACAAGCTACCACTATTTCTGGACGTGTGAATTGAATGCTCAATTAACTCAGTAAGGCTTTTGATTTTTTCTGAAATTTTTTCTATTAGATGCAGTATGAGAAGTATGGGGTTACCTTGGTCCTACTTCATGATTTAATACGGTTCCCAACCTTGGCTGCACGTTGGAATCAGCTGGAAAGTTTTAAAAAATAATGATACTCTGGCACCCACCACCAACCCCACCGAGAAGTTCTGGTTTAATTGGTCTAGGATGCAGCCTGGGCATCAGGATTTTTTAACTCTCCAGGTGTTTCTAATGTGTAGCCAAGGTTAAGAATCAACTGGAGTAAGGAGACTTGATTCAAATACGGCCACTAATTAGCTATGTGGCCTCGAGCAAAAGAAATATTCATTTATCCAACAAGTATTCCTTGATGGCTTGCTATATGCAAGACAGTGCTAGGGGTCTTCTCTCTCCAGCCTCCAAGATAAGTGAATTGGACTCAACAATTTGCTCATTCATTTGGCAAATAACTATTGAGTGCCTACTACCTGCCAGGCACTGTGCTAGGCACAAGGAGTACAGCAATGAATTGGATGGACAAAACCCCTTCCCTCGGAACTTACAGTTTAGTTGGGGGAGGCACGACCATATACAAGTAGTGAAAACTTAAATAGCAATGTCAGATAAAGGATGGAAAGGATGATGGGAGGGACTGGCAGCCAACATGGAAGCAGTGGTGGGGTGGTAAGAGGGGGAACAGAGAGAGGTGGACAGGTTCTAGAAAAAGTCAAGGAGATAACATCTCCAGGACTTGGTGATGGGTGTGATATATGAGCGAGAGAGAAAAAGGGAAGAAGGCCAATTGCTAGATCCCAAGATTGCTGGGTCATTCACTGGGGCAAAGAACGTGAGAAAAGAATCTCAGCCACCCAGGGGTTTGTGAGGGTCTAGAGCTAAGGTGTAAGAAAACAGGGCAATGAAACCAATCTCCACCCCAGACAGAGATCAGGGCAGAGGAAGGACCTTAGCTAAGACATTCAAGGGGTCTCACGAGTGGTCATTTCAACATCTGGGCTGGGTTTTGTATAGCTAAAGGGGAGGCCACTAACAGGCTGTTCCCACAGGCCCAAAGCTGACCAACTTGAAAGAGAACAATGCACAGAAGAACCGACTGTGATTGTATAATGATGTGAGGTACCAAGTCCACTGTGGAAGAGGGGGCCTCGCAAACCATGGAGGCACTTGGGGAAAGAGTTCTCTTCTTCCTTCTGGGTGTAGACTACGTTGTCTCTGAGAATTCATATTTGTCCTTGGGAGATCTCTGCAGGTGTGTAAGATTGTGTGTGTGTGTGAGAGAGAGAGAGAGAGGGAGAGAGACCCACAGCTACTGTTGGACAATCCAAAGACGAAAGACATGCATTTGTCCCTCCCCTCAGCCAGCAGCTCTTGAGGGAGAGTGGACAGAATATGGCCCACAGGAGACTGCAGGGCTACTTGTTGACTAACGCAAACTGGGGGAAAGGTCCTGCTGGGGGAAGGGGGATGCAGCCTGAGGTGAGAACAGCCCCTGTGGATGAACATTTCTGAAAGGGAGAGGCAGAGGTAGAAGAGGGAGAGGATTCCACAGAGAAGAGCAGACTCGAGGGCGGGGGAGCAAGGACAGGAACTGAGGTGTGCCTCTAAGAGTCCCCCTGTGAAAGCTTAAACTCCTTGAAGGTTCTCCAGGGTTCTTGAGGCTTCACAGTCTTTCCTTCACATGTGGTTTTTCCCCTTTGATGCTCCCTAAACCATGAGCACAGACTGATAGACCTGCCTAACTATCTGGCTCTGTTAGGAAGGAAAGTGAGAATTAGGACTCCCAATTACCCTCTAAAGCTCCCAGAGAACCTTGCAGAGGGGACAGCAACTTACGGAGGGGAAGGCCCTCCAGGAGTTCCAGA